AGTGGGTGCTGGGGGAGCCAGCCGTGTGTCCAGGGCTGTGCTGGACACCGTGCCTGGCTTCACCGAGCAAATGCTGTTTCTTGGGGTCTCATGTCTGGCTGGTGGTAGCAGATGGCAATTCTGGTAATACTTCGAAAGCATCTATTTGGGCAGGGAGAAGCTCACAAATTCATTATCCTGGGCAAACCAGACAGAGATTTAAGCTGCAAAGAAGATAAGAAGATTGTTTTACCAATCCCATCTTTGCTGTCTTCCTGGTGGCATGTGCATTTCCCCGGAGAGGGGTCTCAGTGACAGAAGGAGGCTGCTTTTCTGGGCATTCAGGGTGGGATCCCCCCCTTGCCCCCCTGCAGCCCAGCAGGCAGGGAATGCAAACCTTGCTCTGGCTCGGTAGCTGCACTCAGGATATGCTCTAAGAGCAAGGTTGGAGCCCACAGGCGAGGTTCATCTCCCACTCAGTGGTAACACCACGGTCTGCAGCTGAGACCCAACATCCACACGGCCAACACCCGTTGTGAGAGCAGAACAACCCCCCCAGCACCGTCTCTCTGGGCAGAAGAGATCAAATTAATGCAAGGGGCTGCTTTGTGTCGCACGGCAGGAGCTGCGGCTTCCTGCAAGGCTTTGCACCCCTGCTGCACTTCTGGATCCCACCCCAAAGGACTGACCATCCCCATGGAGAAAGGAAGGCCAGGGGCCTGCCCATGCTTCTGGCAGAGGTCAGTGTAGGAGTCCAGATCTCCAGGACAAGCTGTTGCCTCCGCTCCATCCCAGCAGAGCCACTCCAGTGCACTCAACTGGCATTGAACGAACTCTTCCCTCTAATGACAGCATTTCAGGCCAAAACCGGTGTGTGCCGATCATGCTGCTCGCTAGCCCTGTCTCAGAGCCATCCAGCGTCTCTGCAAGCCTCCGTACACACGTCTTGGTCCGGAGGAGCAATACGGGAGCTCCCCCTGCTGCCCTGTCTGCCCTGCACAGGGGGTGCGCTGGGTGCAGCCCCCTCCCCAGCCCCCAGCTTGCTGGAAATATTGCGCTGGGGTTGCTAAAAGCAGCAAGGACCGGCTGCTCCCTAAAAATCAGAAGCTGGGTAGGAGAGTGTTTCATAGCATTTCACAGAAGCAGATACATTGTCCCAAGTTCATGAGTCTTTTCTTCCTGTTGGGTGATTAAGTAGAGGTGATTAAATTATAATTAAACAACACATGGTGGGATTGATTGCCCCGCAGGAGTCATCGCCTCCCTTGAAGCCCCGGTTCATTCACCGCAGGAGGCTGACATGTGCTTCGTTTCACCTCCCCGTCCCCCAGACCGGTAGGGATGCTCACGGGAGGAGATGCTCCTCAGCCCGAGCGCTGCTGTGCCTGTGGAGCGGTGGGCACACAGGCGCTGGGATTCACCCACTGCGGTGCTGAGGATGCAACTCTGCGTTCAGAAATGTTAATCGCTGCTTATTGCAGTCTTTTCCATCACGCTGCAGCTGCAGCTGCTGATGCAGAGCTCATCTTTAGTGTCTGTAACATCCTGAATAGCTGTGGTCTCTAGAGCTGCGTAGCTTTGTTCAGTCCTAGTGGATAACTTTACACAGCTTTAAAGCTGCTCCAGAAAAAAAAAAAATAATGATCTGCAATGGGCACGTTCCTCTAAAGCAGAAAATCTCTCTTCCTGAGCCACTCTGCCGATCTCCCACCCACCGCCAGGTCTGTCTGACAGAAATCCTGCTGGCACCGGGTGCAGACCTGCACTGTCTCCAGGAGGGAGCACTTGCAGTTGCTCTGAGGGACCGGCCGCCCTTCAAACGCCCTCGCGGTGTTGGGACCTGAACCCCATCCTCTCCGCTGTGTTTCAGCCAGCCAAACCACACATTTGCTGGTACTCGGCTGCTGGGACGCTGAAACCCATTCCCCTGGGGGAACCATCCGTGGGTGCAAGAAGACGTGCTGCAACGTGCAGGCTGAGCAGCCGCGGGCAGTGCTCGCCGTGCTGGAGGGACCCCCACCTCAAGACCTGCGGGATTTATCTTCTCTCACTGGCACACCTCTCCCTCTGAGCTCATCCCCAGATTCCCGCTGCGGCCAGTGGAGAAAATGAGGCAATTCTGCAGCGTGGTCCATCTCAGCTGCTGGGCAGATGAGCATCTCAAACAGATCAATAGTCAGAGCTGAACTTGGGGGTGGGGGTGTGTTCATTCCTCTTGGAAATACCAAAATATGGGGCTCACTCCTCACCCGGGGCGGCTGTGTGCCGCTGCCCCAGAGCCAGCCTCGCAGCCCGGCTCCGTGCCGGGGATGGGTAGGGCAGGCAGCGCCACGGAGGCTGCAGCAGCGGCTCTGTACCCACAGAGGTAGGCTTTTGCTTTGCATGGAGTCCATAAGCTGTCATTTGGAAGCTGTCTGAAGTAAAGAAAGAGCATGGAACTGCCATACTGCTTTGAGTAGTTCCGGGGGTTAATAATTTTGAGCTAAACAAGGCTTGTTGTTGTTCGCCAGGTTTTCAAGGATCTGGAATTTGGTGTACGAGTCTTGGCCAGTTCTGCTCTTTTCTCTTCCCTGGAGTCTTCCTTGTTTCCCTTTGCGTTGCCCTGACCCTGTCCCTGTGCCCACGCAGCACCAAAGCCCGTTTGCTCCCCGTGTCCCCAACGCTGCTCTCCTTGTCCCATTGCAGGTGGTACGAGACCAGATTTCTCACTGCACGGTCAAGCTGCGCCAGACCACGGGTCTGATGGAGTACTGCCTGGAGGTCATCAAGGAGAACGACCCCAGCGGCTTCCTGCAGGTTGGTGTGGAGCTGCTCGTGCCTGGGCTGCGAGGGGAGCGGGAAAGGCATCGCACAGCCGAGGGCCCAGGGGTAACGCGGCAGAGTTGGGGGAGTTACACCAAGGATGGTGTAGCAGCTTTTCGAGCCATAAAATCAAGGGCCAACCTCTCATCACCTCCAGGTGGACAGCAGGACAGCAGCAGAACCCGGCCAGGGTCGTCGCTTACTCTGACCAGAGGGCTGCAGCACACGGTGGTGTATCTCTGGAGCAGTGATCATAACGTGCTGTCTCGTGGTTCTCCAGTGAGAGACGAACGTACAGCACTTGAGAACTGCACCCCACCGTTCGTTCCTGGGCCGGTCCCTTTGATACTAGACCCTGCCTTTAAAATAGTCCCCAAAGCTCCTCTGCCGATCTGAGCCGGCGGCAAAGGGTGATGCTAGAAACCACGCGTGATGTCCTGGCCCTTGGCAGTCAGGGACAGAAGTGGCAGCCTGGGAGGCCCAGGGAAGGAGGAGAGCAGGGCAGGGACAAGGCACACGCAGCCCCGGTGGCCCTCGGTAGCTGAGGCTGCTCCTTGCCACCAGATCTCCGACGCTCTCATCAGGAGAGTGCACTTAACCGAGGACCAGTGGGGAAAGGGGACGCTCACACCCCGGATGACCACGGACTTCGACCTGAACCTTGATAATGCCCCTCTGCTACAGTCCATCCATCAGCTCGACTTTGTGCAGATGAAAGGTAAGAACATTTCCAGTGCCTTTCAAAAGCCCAGCTCCGCTCCTGCTGAGTGCTTCCATCCATCTCATCACTGGGAAGGGGCAGCAGAGGGGAGCTTTTCATTTTCTCCCAGCGAAACTGAGCGCCCCAGACCCAGAGTTACGCCTGTTCCTGGGTATTTTGCACCCTTGGGCCAGCCATGTGCCTCTGTCTCTGATCCCTGAGCAGCTGTGTGCCAGACCAAGGTGCCAGGAGCTCGGTTTTGCCCGGCAGTGCTTTAGAAAGTGCTCTGCGGCGCCGGGAGAGCCAGGTTGGTCCCTGCTCAGCTGGTGGAGGTTGGGACCAGGATCTCAGGAGCAACACAAGGCACTTCCCAAACCTGTGCTCACCCACACGCTCAGTGCTGAGCAGCGTCTGGCACGGGCCAGCTGGTGAGCTGCCTGCTGCGGGCAGCCACGGCGTCCCTCCAGACACAAGGCACAGCCACGCCGCTTAGCTCGGGGTCTTCCTTCCCTCCCCTCTCCTCCCTGTCGTTTTAGACTTTTATTTCAGTTTCAGTTTCCTCCATGGTCTCGCTGTGAGAGAGCGCGCATGGATTTGCATCACTTGGCAGGAAGCAGAGAGCCGCTGCAACCTGTGAGCAATTTGCGTCTTGGCAAGCCCTGGGAAGCTGACAGAAGATGCAAATGGGCTGTGCCGCAGGGAAGCTCCGGAGGACGTGGAACGTAGGCCTGTACCTTCAGCGTGGTGCAAATGGGCTGCCTGGAGGAAAGGCCACCAGCCGTGGGTCTGGCATGGCCCTTGGTTGCCGTCGCGGCTGGGGTTTCTGGCCCGGGGGGCATAAAAAAAGGGCCCGGGGCCCATTGGCACACACCAGCATTTCTCGGTGGTCAGGCACAGGAATGCTGTCGACCACGCGCTTCCTCCGTAACGATAACGAGCGTCTTCAAATTACGGCCCCGCTGGTATTTGCTGCAGGGAGAAGGGTGTGTTGGGCATGGCTGCTGGGAGCGCTCGGCGTTGCTCATCGTTAGCCAGGCTGTTAATTTGAAGTGTCAGTAACATTTTTTGATAGCGAGGAGAGCCAAACCCAGGGAGGGCTGGATTCCTGTTGAGCTTACACACCAGCCGTGGAGACGTTAGCGTGTTCCTGCCCTCCCTTCTTTCAATTTAGCCCGGAGGGTTATTTTTAATTGATAAGAGCAAATCTGCTGCTAGTTGAGCCGCCTGCCCTCCTCTGCGGAGGCAGGGCAGAGCTGACGGGCTGCCCTCCCATCTCACCCTCGCTGCGGAAATCAGTTGTTGCGTTTCGTAGACTTTGCAGAAAGTTGGGATCCCAAACACGCGTCGCAGCACCGGGGGGGGGAGGCAGGGCGACACCAGAGGTCTCGATAAAGAGCAGAGGTGAGCAGTAGGTGCAGGGCATCCCGCGTCCATTGCCAGCACGTGCTGGGCAGGAGCAGCGCTCCCTGCTCTGTATGAGCTGTAACGCGAGGCCTTTCTCCACTCCGTTTCTCCATGCTCTCGGCCCGGTGGTTCCAAAAACAGGAGGCGGAGGAGTTGCAGAGGGAGGTGGTGGATGGTGAACCTTTGCCAGCGAGTCCATCTTTTCTCTCCTGGGCATGCGTGGCTCCTCCACTTCTTGTCTGGATTCTCTATGTCTTTTTTTTCGCTGGCCCTTATCAGACTTTGGGCAGCGAGGATGAGGATGGAGGATGAGCAGCTCTATTGAGGGCTCTCCCTGACCAGGGATGGGATGTGTCGGTGGACATCCCCTTTCCCTGTCGTGCTGTCACCCCTCCGTGCTTTCCAGAGCAGGAGCGGGCTGCGTTACAGAGATGGAGATGCCCACATACAGCAGTCTGAGCAGAAGCAGCCCTGGCAGTCCCTTATGTCCCCTGTGTAGGTGGTGGGAGGCCATAGGGCCTGTCTGGAGACCTCTCTGAAATGTGCTTGTGCCTCTTGTCCCTCCCTGGGAGGTGTTCGGCAGCAGGGGACAGCCCTGGGGACCCCACAGGAACCCCTGGGAGTGGGTGCTGTGCTTGGGACAGCGTGGGAGGACCCTGAGCCTTCTGTGGCAGGTCAAGGGCTGTCAGTCCCTGGCACTAAAGCAGCATCGTGGAGAGACACCCTCATCTCTTCACCGAGTCTCTGGCTTCGTGCGGTTGCCTCTTCTTTTAGGTCAAACTCTACCACGGCAAAAAAATCAGGCGCTCCCCGTTCTGCAGGACCCGAGGCTCGGCTCTGCTGCTCCGGCATCGCTTGTTTTATTGCAGTGAATTTGGTTGATGGAAAAGCAGAGCGATGCTTGTAGATAAGGCCAGGCCCACGGCTGCAGTCAGCTCTGCGGAGCGTGTGGGAGAGTGTCCCAGGTTTGGGACCAGCTGCTGTAAAGAGTCCTACACCAGGTATATTGTCGCGCTGTCCTATTTCACCAAAGAGCACTAGAAAACGGGAAGAAAGCAGAAAAGCTCTGGGGAAATCGCAGCTTCAGCATGCTGCGGGGTGGAGGAATTTGGTGGAGCTTGTCTGGAGAACAGTCCTTTCTGCTTCCTCCCCACCTCACACCCACGAGATCACAGTTACATCCCTCGTGCCGTGCTGGCTTCGCACCGAGGCTTCAATGCATCCTCCACGCTCCAGCTGAAGGGTGCACGCCGCGGCTATCCCCCGCTGCTCCTCTGTGGTGCCAGCAGCCAGGGTCACACTAATTTGTGTTTAGTTTCCTCCCCAGTGCCGGCCCCCCCGATCCTGCAGCTAGAGGAGTGTTGCACCCACAACAACAGTGCCACCTTGTCCTGGAAGCAGCCCCCCTTGTCGACGGTGCAGGTGGAAGGTTACATCCTGGAGCTCGATGATGGCAACGGCGGCCAGTTCAGGGTAGGTGCTCGGAGCACGAAGCCAGTCCCGGCACCGAGGTGTTGCTCCTGGTGTCAGTATTTCCGTGCCATGAAGGGACCAAAGAGTTCCCCAGCCTTTTCGCAAGTCTCCTCCTTCCCTGGAAACATGGGGCTCGCTGCTGGGGTGCCCGGGGAAGCTGACAGTGCAGACAAGCTATGGGCTTTTTTTGGGGGGGGCAGGGTTATTTGAGGGGGTGGAAATAACCTTTCCAGTGACCGCTGACTTGCAAACGCAAAGAACGCATTTGAAGCTCCGTCTTTTTTAGGTTGCTAAATATTTCATGCAAGGGGTGCTAATTGCCATGAAAAACTCATGGGTTGCCAGCTGCCAGCAAGCCGAGGTGTTTAAGGCCTGAGGGCTTTTAAATTGCTGTAATTACACAATTAGAATATGATTTTTCTCTGATCCGACACGCTGATAATTACCCTGGCGTGTTCACATCCACCTAGAGCAGGCGCGGGGACCAGCCCATCGCATTTTCTGAATTCATCCACAAGAAACTCAGGCAGGCAGGAGCCAGAGCAGAGTCGAGGCAGAAGAGAGGTGACACGGGTGGGATCTGGAGAGAGAAGGGAGCGGGAGCCTGGGTGCGGGGAGGCACAGCCACCCCGGCAAGGTGAGGGCGATTCCTCAGCGTGCCAGCCTTCTCCTGCCAGCAGTGGGAAGGGGCTTGGATGTACGTGGTATTCCTGCCGCTGCGGTTCTACAGGGCTGCTCTAGCCCGTGCGACGTGAAGGGGAACATCTCTGGCTTCTCAAATCACTGAGCCGTTCTCCTTTCCAAAAGCTGACCATGTCAGGCAGTGATTTGCCCAGCGAGCTGGGAGTGCCGGCAGCTCGGGCAGCGAAGCGCGGCGGGCTCTGGAGCGGGAGC